TCTGTTCTGGCTCTGGATCTCCACTCTAGGTTTTCGGGGTTTTTTTTTGGAAGTTAGCCTTCTGCCAGGCTGGCTGTGTCACCTGAAGAAGCCAATGTTCACTTGTGCTCACATGGATACCAAGAAGAGTCAGGAAATCCTTGCACTAGTGATGCAGTGAGCAACCCTCGGGTCCACAGATTTCTGAGACCCATCCTCGATACTGGGTCTTTGCAGGTCTTGGCGGCCAGCTACATTGACTCTTTGTCAATTTTATGCTTACAGCTCTAAGTTGAAAATGTGGGGGTCAGGCTGCCTGCCAGAGAGTAGGACATTAGCTTAGAAATGACAAAGCTTTATTCTTGAAAGTCGAGATTGCATGATCCCCTCCCACTGTAAGCAAATGCCTCTCCTGGGAATTGATTCCAAAGGAATAAGTCAGGGGACAAAGACCATAGACATGAAGATATTCCCTGCACTGTTAGCTGCAGTTTCAAAAATTAGAACCTAGTCTAAAGCTGCCAAAGTGAAACCTTTGTGTGGGGCTTGCAGGTGTTAAAAGCGATTACTGGATGGGGGCGTAGATTAATGGTAAAGCACCTGTCTAGCATGCTTGGGGCCCTGGGTTCCATTCCCAGCACTGAAAATGTTTAAAAAAGTGATTGCTAAGAACATGAGTAGACAAGTGAGAGTGATGCAAGATGTCTAGGAGGAAAGAGTGATGTGGTCTCTATTCTGAGGAATTCTGTGCCATTGAAATGGACTGGAAGGTGGTTGACCCATGAGGTCCCCAGTGACTTAATGCTGTCCGAACCATGAGTCTCGGTAGTCAGTCAGTGAAGCAGACTCACCCTAACCAATCTTACAGAGCCTGATGTGTAAACCAGACATCAGCAGAAATGTCCTGAGGCTCAATACTGCCCAGAAGACCTCTTTGTGCAAATGTAATCCCTGGAAATGGAAAATTTGCTTTGTGAATATGAAGCTGGATGACCTTTACCTAGGAGACTCTCAAACCTCTGTGGGCCTCAAGTTTCTCACCTACCAAATGGGAATAACAGGAGTGCTCAGTACACAGGCCTGTGGTGACGATGGTCAGAAGGGCAGCGGTGCTGGGAGACACTCACCCTAGGGATGAGCCATCCGAACTCGTGATTATTGACACCCACGAGGAAGGGCACAGGGTGGAACTGCCTCTCCTTCAGGAGCTCCTCAGGGCTTTTGGGAAAGAAAGATCCATCGATGGTGTAGGTAGGGGCTATCATTTTCTGCAGGAGAAAGCAAAGCAGGATCCCCCATCCCCACCCCAATGCCCCTGTAACAGCCAAGCCTCCAAGGATAAGGCCCCAGGGGTCACCTAGCTATAGCTCTGAGTGGCTGAGACTTCAAGGAAAATGAGATGGAAATGACTGGAGTTAGATGCCCAAAGGGAGTCGGGAGACCTGATTAAGTGCTGCTTCCAAGCAGATCCAGTGCCCAAAGGACAGGACCAACCCTCGGGGCCAGGGGCAGCCCTCAGCCCCTTCCTCCTGTGGGTGCCTTTCCCAAGCCCCATCCAGGACTGGTGACTTCCCATCCATCCCTGCAGGAGCTGGACAGGTGACCCTGTGGGTTTCAGCCTGTCACCATCCCCAAAAGGGTGGCATACCGATTCTTTGGTAAGGATCAGCTCCTCTCCTTTCTTCTGCTGAAGGCACTGCACCAGCTCAGCCATTGAGTCAGAGCTGCAGGCTAAAGACTCTGCAAGGCTCTGGGGACAGACAGAAACATCTTACCTCTTCTCAGGCCCCTACCTCCGTCTTCCCATGGAAAGGGGGCGCATCTGTAGCACTGGGCTGTGATGTCACAAGTACAAGCCTGGCCAAAGACCTGCCACCACCTATGGGAGACTTCCTTACCCTCTGTGCACCTCAAAGACACCAAACTGTGACTGCCTTCTGAGAACTATCTTTCTTTCTTTCTTCCCTCCCTCCCTTTCTCCTTCCTTCCTGTCTTCATCCCTCCCTTCCTTTCTTTCTTTCTGTTTTGATTTTTTTGAGATGGACTCTCACTGTGTAGTTCAGTCTGGGCTTCAACTTACTATGGAGCCTAGACAGGCTTCAAGCTGGTGGCGATCTTCCTGCCTCAGTCTCCCAAGAGCGGGGATTATAAGCATGTGCTACCGTACTTGGCTGTGTTGTTTTTTTGCCCTGTGAGAATATTTCCCCCCTGTGAACTGTGTCCTTTTCTGTGTAATAATACTTTGTGGAGTGAAGGCCGTTGAGAAGGGGTTGGAGAGGGAGGGCATGCTCTGACAGGGGATGGCGGGGATGCGGAGGCCGGAATAGGGGCAGGGGGGGGTTGGGAAGTAAGGCTGGAGGCACAAATGAGCTTCAGGGAACCTAGGAAAGGATCTCAGGTTCATAGTGGAGACTCTCTCAGCCACAGTGAGGTGATGGGTGTGGAGACTGCTGCTCTTATGCAGACAAGAAGCAACGTGCCTTGCTGAGGGTTCCAAGTCCTGGCATGCCTAGTGGTTCCAATGCCCAGTCTGCTCCTCTACTGTAGCTGAGGGCTGGGCCCAGGTGAGGTCACTGACATAGCCTCCCATTAGCCCCTCTCCCCAAGCCCATGGCAACCCTAATCCATCACTGTCTTTTGTGAGGATTCTGCCTTGACTGTCTCCCTGGCCTCTCCACCTCCAAGATTGCTTTCTCTAGCCTCCCCTCCACTCTAAGTAGCTCAGACGTGTGGCTGAGCTCTGGTCCAGTGAAGATTCCTGGCACGGCCCTTGGGGTCCTTTTCTGCTTTCAGGACCGTCACTGTCTTACATCTGCAGCCTGAGCAGGTGCAATGCCTATTCAGGAAAACCTCTGCGGCATCCTATGGTGACTTCTCACAAGGCCCTCAGTGAGGACTGCGGGTGGGATCTGGAGGCTGAATGAAGATCTCTTAGGCAGCAGGAGCTGGGAATGCAGGGATCCCCAAGCATTCTTGGAGAGAGGTGTCCTCCCCAATACACTACCCTGGGGAATGGGCCAGAGACAGTCTGCTCAGGGGTGGTCTCCTCCAGAAAGTGACACCCAACTGCCCACCCCCAGGGATGCATTGTTGTTTTCTCTGAGCTTCTATGTCTTTATCTAGTGGGCCCCTCTCTCAAACAAGAACCTCCCTATGGGTGAACTTTTCTGACTCTGAGGCCTCCAGGCCAGCACATGTTGGGGTGTGGGGAACACATGGAGTAAGAATGAAGGAAATACAGACCTGAACTTTGAGCGAAGAGTCAGACACTGTCAGCATTGGGGAAAAGATGACCCCACTCTGTGCTATGGCTCTGTGGAACAGTCCTGTGGCCATTGGAGATAAGACCTGAGTGCAGCAGACAGGCCATGGTCAGCGGAGGACAGAGGAGAAGTCTGGGGTCCCAGCTACAATTGCTAGCTGCCTGTGGCAACTCACCAGGGCAGAGACGATACAGGCACCTGCAGATCCACCAAAGATGGTGACACAGTTGGGATCACCCCCAAAGGGAGCGATGTTCTCCTGCACCCACCGTAGAGCGGCTATCACATCTAGGAAGCCTTGGTTGCTGGGCATACGCTTGTCCCCAGTGCTAAGGGCAGGGTGAAGTAGTAGTTAGTTTAAGCTGGTTCCCTGACACATACTCCTTGGGTTTGGTAGGTTCAATTTGAACCAGTTGTGAGAACGGTTGACCCTTCTCTGCTCCCAAAGTCTGTCCTCAGTCTGAATCATGCTTCTTGTCTGTATGCCCAGGCTTTGGTAAGGGCAGGCCTAGCAGGGCAGTCAGCCTGGGCTGGCTCTCATGTGGTTACCACAGCTTGTTGCTCTTTGCCCCCGTACCCTGCTGGAACATGGGCTCCCTCCCAGAACCTAATACCCATTTACCAATGGGCCAAGTTCAGTGTATAATTCTGGCTTTATTTGGGGCCCTCCCCTGAGATGAACTTTGGGAAGCAACATTCTTTTTCTCTTTCTTTATATTCTGCAGTACTGGGGATTGAACCCTGGGCTTTCACATTGGGCTAAATACCCAACTCTTTCTTTCATTTTTCAGTTTGAGGCAGAGTGCTGCCAATTCATTAAATTGCCCAGAGGAGCCTGAATTTGTAATCCTTCTGTCTCAGCCTCCTAGAGTGCTAGGATTATAGGTGCATACTACTATGCCCAGATTGCATCCTCTTCTATTCAAGACAGCAGTGGCTCA